GTGCATCTTTCAAAAGCCACAGATTAATTGTTGTATTTAGCCGTTCACCACAGCTGAAAGATCAGTGACTGATGATTGCTGACTTGTATTATTATCTTTTGCACTTAATGGAATTACATTCATTGTTGGATCGATTTAATAACCCAGCACTCAATAGGAGATCAATTTTAATTTAGGAGCCTCATTTACTTCCTCATAATGTGGTTTGTAGAGTTGTAGAGCAGTTATTGTCCAAATCATATTTCAAATGATAACTCATGCTCTGCTTTTGGCGTTTAGTAGCTCGTGGCTCTTGGTTTTCGGCAAGTAGTATGAAATTATCCTTGTATATGAATCTGTTCACAGCACACCATTGCAGCACAAGTTTACTGTAAGTCACCATTCAACTCGCTAAAATGTAAACATTATTTAGGTACGTCTTATGCAAGTCAGCCATCCATGCAAAGACTCACAAATCAATCTTTACTGTAAATGGATAATGTTTTTCTTCCTAAGGCAGTGTCGTGGGCTATAATCCTTTATTAAAAAAATGCTTTGTGTTAGAGATCCTACCTAATATGACACTCAAAAAACTAACTAAAAAAGCTGAGAGAGGAGACAATTATAGTTTTGATATGTTAGGTAAAGCAGGATGTGGCATCTCTACGAACAGAACGAGAACTGTCACAGTGTCCCTGTTAATGAGCAAAGCAGGAATAGGTTATTGTTATGCAGGAATGGAGGTGCAGAGCCTGGAAATTACCTGCCATCGCTGTGAGAAACGGGAGTCTGGCTCCAAACAGTGCCCAGGGCTAAATACTGGCTTCCTCCTCCATTAAGACACCACTGTCATGACTTCTAATCCTGGATAAGAAATATGACTGGTTGAATTCCCAGAAGGGAAGTTTTCTTAGCCGTTCTGTTCCTCAGCCGTTTGCCCTTTTAAATGTAAACTTTCAGAAATGTCTCCCAGTAGGCTGTTCTTTCAAGCAGCAGTCAGGCTTTAACTGCAGGGCTCTGCTAAACGTCTTAGCAATGGCAAAGCAGAGTCCTATAGTACAACTCTCCAAATAATGTCAGCGTAAGCCATAACCTATAGTTCACTCTGGGGGGGAAGTTCTGATTAGAAAATGAATTCAAAGGATTTCTGCGCCATGACTGCAAAACCTAGGAAACCTAGAAAGCTTTAGCTCTTATGATGCATCCGTCAGCACATTTGGACATGCACCCTTCTCTATTGAAGAAGTCTTTCCTCAAACGTTCTAAATAGTATCATATCACCTGCTCAAAGATGACGCATTAATATACAGAACTTTTGGAAAACAGGAAGTCGGGAAATCGAATGGAAAAAGTCCTCCCACCATGCCAGCAACATGGAGCTCTGACTTACTCTCAAGTACATGGCACCTAATGAGTAGCGCTAATATATTTCACTCAAAAGCTTTTGATACGACAACATTATCACCTTTTCTTCCCCCTCCGAGGGTTTCCTTTGTAGAGGTTGGTTAAACCTTTCACAATTGGCTATTTTAACCTAACCTTATGAGTGCCTTTCTCAAGAAGTGGAACGTTATGAGTCATGTTCTGAGTTGTGAGTATATTTTTTGGTGAAGAGCCATTAGTGCCTGTCCACAAAAAACACTGTAAGCTGCCAGATGACAGTTTCCACATTGCCACGCAACACTTGCTTGGTTTCCTTTTTTAATGAGTCGTTAATGTGCCAAAACACTGAAGATTCAGAAGCAAAATGTTGACCTAAAACTAATATTAGAACAGAAAGTTTTGGGTTCAGGGCTTTGAGTTCAAAACTAAAAAAGTTGTTGTTACTTTCTCTTATATTACATTTTATTTAGTATGTAGAATTGTGTTTGTGTGTGTGTGGATCTTTGTGAGTTTTATAGTATTGCAGCGTATCTTTGATTAAAGTGCAGGGGACCAATAGATGTGAGGCGGTTTGACTAAGTAGTTTTTATTGCTTCATAAGAAGTCCTGGAGCAGAACTAATGCGCATGCAGTATATCAAGATAATCTACACCTAAACCTCCTGTGCTCTTACACTCAGACTGTAAACAGTAGATGATTGTGTCTGGCTGGAGTCTGCTTGTGTGACATTTCTTATTGAATATTTATTCTCATCTTTCACAATTGTGATTCATCATCTGTCTTTGTTATTGATAAAAGGATCAGCTTTCCTGTCTCTGATTTATTGATGATTACGCTACACATTCAAACAAACATAAAGGAAAGGGCAGACGCACGCACGCACGCACACACGCACACACACACACACACGCACTCTTTTAGGCCTGCAATCACATTCAAACAGCCCCGATGAGCATTTCCATCACTATTTGCAATGCAATGTCAAACTCTATTCATCGCATCAAAGTAGTCCTTAGTTAATGGAAAAGGAAATTGGTATTGATTGACATTGGAATGGATTCAGTCGGGATTTAGACAAATGGTTTTTCTGCCAAATGCTAAAGGCTTGTATCCAAACACACAGAGCACTTTCCACCACAGATCTCCTGGGATTATTTAAAGTAAATTTAAAGTGCTCCGATAGTTGAATCTCTCGGGATCCGAGCCACATTCGACTGTACTGAAACTCCTTTATTTATATTGTGCTGCTGGATGTTATTCATTCACAGCAGACTTTGCTTATAAATCTTTACATTTGGGATTGCAATATCATTGGTGCACACATCACAAATGAAAATAGTTGGTTAAACATTCTAAGATGTGGCTTTTTTGTTCACATACCTTTAAATTGTCTTGTATATAATGGCACTCACAGAAGTATACTTTACGCAATTCAATTGTAATGAAGTGTAGGCCAAATGGGAACAGACATACGTCACACAGTCTGTTGATCTGTAACGTCTCCCTCTGCCAGAGAGTTTGTTTCTGTCTGGGACGCGAAGGGGACTGAAAATGAGGTTATGGTTGAAAATGTTTGGTTCTATCAGCCTCAAGGAGTCACTCATTGTAACACAGAGCAGGTGGAGTGGGATGGACCTTGGCTGTCCTTTCTCTCCCTGCTCTCTTCTCCTTTTCTGTCACTGTAAAATGTGTGTGTAATCTGTCTTTAAAGTGTGTTGCTCACTCAATAAATGTGCCGTCTTGGTTAAAATATTCATTACAATTGTGCATCTTTGCAGCAACACATTTGGAACAGATGTAGGAGTATATGTTATAAAATGTAAGGCATTTTAAAAAGTACCAATATGCTACTACATATTTGCCAACAAAAAGTGGATTCAAACCATTCAACTAATGTTTTTACAAAGACTTGAGACTCTAAATGGAACAAGTATGCTGAATCAAGATCACCCTCCTTCTCATACCAATGAGCTTTGCTGCACAACATAAAGCAAACCTGGTCTTAAACGGCTTGTTGTTTGTTTTAGCCTTCATTGATCCTCTTGTGTACTGTCCTTCACATAAAAAAGCTTGCACTTGATCTGCAAATCCATTTCAAATATCATGCTCTGTATAATGTTGGTGTACGTCTGTGTCTGTTGTGGTACTGTGGGGAATATGCACGATAAATACTAACATTCTGAAAAATACTACTTCCTAATAAAGATATCATACATCTGCAACAGACGATATAAAGTCATTTGAACTGGCATTTTCTGTTGGCACAGTGTGTTGTCTGGGGATTTCCATCTTTTTTTAATCGCTGTGTGTTATGATGTGACCCGACTCGACATTGTGTTGTTCTGTGTGTCTTTGAGTCACTGTTTGTTAGCTGCATTCATAGATAAAAGGGCTTAATGTTACATGGTCCGACCCTCGAGTCTCCACACACAGTCCAATTACAGTGACTTAAATGCACTATTGACCCCAGGTTTATCCCGTCCAAACGCAGCTTTAACCCTGTTTGTCCCCGAATGCTCAAGTTGGATTTTTCCTGAGTTTGTTGAGCTGGTGCACTTGTTACCTAACAGATTACATTTAGTTTTTTCCTTTTCCCAAAAAGATTGTGTCCATTTCCTGTTCATTCTGTTTTTCGCATGTTTGAAAGAAGGTGCTGTCAAGTTAAATGTTTTTTTGGGTTGAATTCAGATGTGAGATTAGGGTAGATGGTCAGTTTATTTTGTATGGCAGTCAGCAATATTCTGGAGGGAGATGTTATTGACAACTAGAGGAAATACTAAGGGCGTATTATTAGTAAGTGTGCATTTTAAATTACGGAGTTAATGGGGATTCTCCTCCTGGGTCTTCTGTCTCTTGTTTTTCCCATTAGCATCCTTACCCTGATTAACTCAAAATGTGCTCTGCCCGCATGCTCCTCTATAGTTGGTTCTAATGTTAGCCCTGGTGGTCTCTAGTAGCCTCCCAGTGGCCCAGTAGCATTTTGATGCCCTTTTTTATATAGTTATTCTTAGCCTTGTTACAGAGTATGATATCTGGGTAGACATGACAGGATGGCTCTCGCACGTGTTGGCTAAGGGAGTGGAGAGATGCATGAGGATCAGGGAGAAAGTTGAGAAAGATGAGGGAAGTAATGCAGCTGTAGTGGATTCAGTGCTTCATAATGAGGCTTGCTAATGGCCTTCTAGCTCCAGGGGCACCAGGGTCCGAGCCAGTGGGGGATTCCTGTCAGAGCAGAGTACAGCACTGACATCAGGGCTACAGCGTGACACATGAGGCCACAGAGATGACCCCTTTCAACAGCCGGACACTTAGATGATTCCCAAGGAGGGGTCGCATGCTGGAAATGAGTCGTTTTCAGAATACACATCCAACACATATTATGTAATGTATTGACTTTCCAAAGGCTGAGAATGTTCTCAGTTTACCTTTCCAGATGCTTTTTACCTGTAGGCATTTTTTAACTGCTGAATTTGATTTATTCAGAGCATAACGATTCTGCAGAAAAATTCTTCTCTCACATTTTGGAGACAAAAACAAAACATAAGCTCTGTCTCTTTTAAAAATGACAATTCTACACAAAGGGGAACTGTACTGGCGTGCCCGTGTAACATAACTTATGTAACTTTACCTCTCCACAGGGCATCAACATCGTGGGTCCTAGTAATGCAGAGCCCCCGCCACGACCTTCTAGTCCAGCTATGTACCAGCTGGATATCGTCCTGAAGAAAGGGAACAACCTGGCCATCCGAGATCGGACCGGTAGGAGCTCTTTTTATTCCTCCTGTCAATTAATTAGCATTGAAGTTTATGTGGGAAAACGGGTGGACAGCATTATCGAGCCTCTGTCTAGCCCTCCGAATGAAAGCTACTCTCTTGGTCTCTGTCAGCTTCTCACAATCATTTTGCCTCTGGCACGGGCAAGGCAGCAACCATTCTGTACCTTATTTCCTTAAAATTGTATCCTCTATTTATCCGTTATCTTTAGGTGCCCCCTCGCATTTTTATACACTTCTCTTTTTGTCAATGTCTTTTGTCACCTCTCTTTTTCCTCTTCTCTTCTTCTTTTTCTCACATTTTGCAGTCTTTTCTTATTTTTCCCTTATCGAACTCCTTGTAGGGTTTTATTGAATACATACATCTCGTCCTCACAGCTCACTCAATTGTCCATGTGTGAAGTGAGATGGAATTACTAGGAATGATGCGGATCATTTCCTGTGCATGCATGAAACAAATTCAGTCTCTGCTTAAGCTAGAACTTTGTCCAATTTGGAGCCAAAACTGAGGAGTATGATCTCTCCTGCAACTATTTCACCTCCCTACCCCATTGGCAGCAGGATCAAGGCTTTTAGTGCATGTAAAGACTATACAGTATTGTTTGTTATCTCTGCCAAGCATCATGTGTTGTGTGTGTGTGTTTGTGTGTCTGTCCACGGCTAATCTTGCCTTGTACTGGACCCACCAACCTAATATCTTTGCACATATATGACAGTATGCTTAACGACCTATTGTAGTTTCAGTCATCCACAACGTTTTTGAGAAAATTATTTGATTACCTTTCTATACCGCCAATGGAGCCACAGGGGGCCACAAGTGATCAACATCTGCTTCAGCTGGAGTCTTGTTTCTGCCTCATACATGTGTATGTCTATATGTGCATTTTGTCATAAATATTGAATTACTTACTTTCAAGAACCAAAGTTAGAAACCCCAAGAATGTTGAGTTCAGTGCTGAGGCACTCCATTACGGTTGTAAAGGGTCAGTGGAGCAGAAGCAAACATGTTTTTGTAGTGCTATCGTGTCGTACAATATATTGCATGCACCTGTTTCTCCCAGTGTAAGATACAATTGTTTATCTCTTTGAGCAAACATAAAATACATCACATATTAAATCACTCAACTTAACATTGTTTCTGGCTCTCTAGAAGGATTTGAAGTGCAGGATAGATAGCCCTCTGCCCATTGCGGAAGCTGCCTGAACACATCCTGTATACCTTTCAGTTTCTGTCAGTTATGTCTAGTCGAAAGACCGGCCAGCAAAAATAAGCAAGGCCTGATATTTTCTTTATAAACTCTCACAGACAATGGTTCGGAGATTGACGGATGCAGGCGTCTCATTAACATTGTAGCAGTCACCATGTGGGCGGATGTGAATATGCTACCCTGCTCCCTCCCATGCACTTTGCCTGTCCACCTCTCCACCTAGTTAATGAGCGGTGAGGTGCAGAGCGCACCTGTCTTGTCCTGAGCCCATCAGGACGGCTCATTATAAAGAGAGGGAGGAAAAGAGACACAGTCAAATAACAGAGAAGTATAGCGGATTCATTCAAAATGAGCAATTATGGTTTTATAACAATCAGTACTGTAACACATGTTGCTTTGTCACACATTGTTCAGAGAAGACTTGTTAATATTAATATATTCAGCAGTTGGTGCCAAATCTTGACAGGTTTGACTTTTGGAACATGTAGTTGCTTCTGTCTTACAGCAGACAGACACAGGATTAGTGTGATTTAAGCTAGGCTTCCTTCTCAGGTATGTAAGCTGGAGAAGAGCTGGGTTTTTTTTTTTTGGGAGAAGACATTTAGTTTAGGTGCCAATTTATTTAGAAAAGCCCAGACATGCATTATAAATGGTACAGATGGTTTCCAGTGTTGTTGCAAAACTTTTGAGAAATCTTTCCAACTGTGAGCTGAAAGTAACGCCTCAACATGCAGCATGCATATTTCATTCTTAATTATGATATTTACGAAGTTATTGTGGCATCAAACCAAATGTCTGATTTTCAAGTCTGAAATATTGAAGAATACTGGGATCAACAACCAAACTTTAAGGGAGACTTGAGTTTACAAGAAGCAAACAGAAGCACACAGCTAGCAAGCGTTTGTTACCATACTGAAGCTCAGATACATGTCTTACATTGATGTATGCACCCAGAGCAAAGAGTGACAGGCCGTACACAAAGGAGCGATGGGGCCTCGGTGACAAGAGGCATCAGGTTCATGAGCGTATTATCTTCCGTTAATGTCCCCGTCAATAAAAGTCCTATCCGATCCGATCTTGACAACATGTCCATAATACAATGACACGGTGTAAATCAGAATGTTCACCAACCTTACGTTTTTATTCTAAATATCTTCTTACATGTGTGGCAAAGGATTCTTTCTATAATTCACACAGGTACTAACCTTTTCCATCTCACATTACATTGTCTTACCTTTGCTGAAATGGATGCTATTACTGCCCTTTTGTTATTGAAATTGGATGCAAATTTTAATAATTTAATGATTTCCTCCTAAATGTTGAGAGAGTCAGAGTTCAGAAGTTTCACGTTGAACCAAATACCATCTAATATGAACATTTTCTGACCCACACCCTTTTTTCCATCCCCTTTTATGTTGACTTAAAGTGGACCTATTATGCTATATTGGAAAAAATATATTGTAGGGCCATACCTATAAAAAACATGTCTGGGAAGTTTTTTGCTTAAAATACCAAACAGATCACCCATTGTAGCCATGCCTCATACTGCTCAAACCCCTCTTTTGCAGCCCTGTTAGAGAAACGCGGATTTTGAAAGAAAAAAAGAGGAGGCGGAGCTAATGCCTGATCAGAATTCTACGGGAGATAAAGTTAAATTCTCCTGTGATAAAACGCCATCCTGTTCTAAACCACATCAAGGATTATTTCTGAAACAGTATGGAGCTCAAATGCTTTTTCTCTTGCGGGTTTATCACAAGGTGAGTTCCTTTTTTATTTCCTGCTTTTTAAACACATGTGCTCTCCAGTACATGTTAGCTCTGAGTGTTAGCGAGGCTTGCTAATGTAAACAAAGACGAGATTACGTCTAAAACACGTCAGGCATTGTTTCTGATAGCTACTTTCTGTGGGTCCGCCGCCGATTTGACGTCATATCGGCAGCAAATCTGTATCCGCTCGTTGTACACCCGTTTTTAAAAGATTTGGGAACGGAGGAAAAGAGAAAGGGTTTTATTTTCTGATGCTGCGTGAGTTCCCCGACACACCGGGGACACATATTTATGTATAAAAGACATCAAAAAGTGCATTTCGCATGATAGGTCCCCTTTAATATAAACTTGAAGCACCATAAAATGCATCTACAGTACATACAGTTGCTCACCTGCTAGCAATGTATGACGTTTTTGTCTTATGCATGCTTCTGTAACAACATCCAAATATGATTTACTCATATTTCATCCGATATCCTGCCAACTTATTTAGCTTATTAAGCAGTTTAAGCTCAAAGCACTTCAAATAATTAAACTACTGTATTCATGAAATATAAATTATCCTCAGAAAACCCTCTGCTCTAGTTGTCAAGAAACATTCCTGTTCCTCATAAAGCATTTTCAGCTCTTGTACCCTCATGCATTTCTGCTGAGCATGCAAGTGCTGTCAGATTTAGTGTGAGTTTTCAGTGCTTAGAGCACGGGGTGGACATGGGAGTGGGCGACAGTGCAGACACTGACATGCCAAACTGGAAGACCCGTGTGTCGTCATACCAAATGCATGCGTCACCATAGGATGGTATTACAGTGTATTTCACAATCCTACAGCTTTTACTGAGTGGGAGCACTGAGGATAGATTCCCTTGCTTCTACTTGAATAATGTAGAAGCAAGGGAATATGTCATTATGCCAAAGGTTCTTCCCATTTATCATCATAAGTTCGAGTTAAAGTGCTTTTCTTACTGAACACAACATATGCTTATACGCAATGGATAGCATTTGACTATATAGGCACCTGTTTATTATCTGTTTGTCTTCATCTGGTGCTCCGAGGTTGGTTGTTTTAGGTCAGCCATCACTGCTGGATATGAGTATGCAGATATCACATACACATTTCTGTGGTTTAAAACAAACAAGAGACATTTTGCAGCTTTTCCGACACAACCAAAATAATTGGCTGGCATTGTTATTTGTCTCTCTTCTGCCTGCACACACTATTTCACAGTTTGTCGCCCAGGAGTGACAGACAACACTTAACATGGTTTAATAGTATGATAAGATAACAAATGGTCATTGGGTATGGATGAATGATGTTATTAACAAAGTACAGCTTGTACAGAAAAAGTGACTAATTCTGTTCATTAACTGATGCCTCTAATTATATTGTATTGAAATTACATTTGCAGGAAGAGAGATATTTAAAAGCAATACATGAGAATAAAAAGCGTTCATAGCTTCATTCTGATAGCCCCCCTTCTCTTTTCATGTTTATTGTCCATGCCCTCAGGTAGAATTTGCTATTCAGAAACAGAAACAGGTTTATTGCCAGGTAGGTTCACACATACGAGGAATTTGACTTGATGTCATGGTGCAGACATAAAATATAAAACAAGAAATCTAATATAAAACAAAAAATCTTTAAGGACACCGTAATAAAATATAGTTAAATAGCAATAAAATAAAGCAGGAATTTACATGGAAATAGAATGCTATGAATGAAGTATAGGATATAAAATATGAAATATGAAACAAGAAATATGTACAGTAAGCAGTATGAACATTGTGTGCATTAATGTAATGCATATACTGTAGGGACTACGTTGTGGCTGAGGTAAGTGTCAGTGGGGGGGGCCGGGCCTTGTTTAAGAGGCCGGCAGCGGAGGGGAAGAAACTACCTAAGAATTCTACCTGTCACTTTCACTTATCCAATATGGGAAATACCCTTTTGTGTCCCCAGAGCCCTCAGCCTGTCATATATGATGAGATACCAATGAGACGTTTTGCAGCATTCA